CTGCAACCTCATTATTTGAAATGATTTGTTTTTGAGTGAAACGTTCCAGATCAGAAATGCAATAGACTCCTTGGGAAAAAGGTGGATTGGTTGAACTTTTCAACATTTTTAAATGGTGTTGAAAAAAAGGACCATCATCATTAAGTCAAGTCAAGTCAAGTCACCTTTATTTATATAGCGCTTTTAACAATACAGATTGTGACAAAGCAACTGAACAGCATTAATTAGGAAAATAGTGTCAATAATGCAAAATGACAATAGTAAACACTCATTTTTCAGTTAAAGACAGTTCATCATTGAATCAGCCTGGGATGTTTCCAGCGCGGCTCTCTGCTCTCTCAGCTGGGTCTGCTTTGCCATCAGGTCCCGGATCTGCTTCTCCACGGCCTCCAGCTCGAGCTGCACCGAATGCATCTCGAACGTGTCCTCACCTGCACTCAAAGGTAGACACACATCCGCCATTAAAGCAAGTAACAGTGAGTAAAACAATGGAAATGTGTGTGAATAGAGTATTAGTGTAAGCGAGATTAGCGGCAACCACGCTGGCGATGCTAGCGGGCTATATGCTAATAGCGGACTCGGAAGTCAAAAATAGAACTAGTGCTAACAAAGCGCTCTGATTGTTTTTGTTGTAGAATACGATAGGGGATATATTCACACGTTATAAAACTGAAAAAGGATGGTGTATAAAATTGATTTTAAGATAAAAATTAGACGACAAAGAATTAACTTGACGGAGCTCAAACTCAAACCACACGGCAGCAACAAACAGGAAGTGACGTATGAGGCTTGCAGAGCCTCACAGACCTCAAGGGCCATTGATTATCATCATCCATCATTATCACCATCATTATCATCATCCAGACACATTCAGATCCCAGATGTCCTGTGGCTTTAGCAAAGCAGCATGTAATGCCACTAAAATAAGATATGCAGTGTGTTATGTTGAGTTTGGGCTTGTTTGAAATGAGAACACCTGCTTTAACTAAATGTGTCATATACTAGGGTTTACTAATCAACTTTCTACATTGCGAGTAAATCACTCGCATATGCGACTAAATATTACTCTGGGCGACTAAATAACGTCTTACATTAGCCATTGGCTAATACATTTTTAGATTTTACACGCCAGTATCTGTGTGGGGTAACTCATTACAAGTAACGCGAGTTACGTAATCAGATTACTTTTTTCAAGTAACTAGTAAAGTAACGCATTACTTTTTAATTTACAAGAGAATATCTGAGTTACTTTTTCAAATAAGTAACGCAAGTTACTTTTTTTCCCCAAGTTACTTAAATTTACTTTCCCTTCAGCCTGAGGCTTATTCATTTCACTTTTGGTGTGAAAAGGCTTTTATATTTGCCAAAAATATAACTTTTTTATTTTAAAAACAAACAAGCAAGCCCTGTCCAGATTTAAAAAGTAACGCGAAAGTAACGTAACACATTACTTTCCATAAAAAGTAACCAAGTAATGTAATTAGTTACTTTTTTATGGAGTAACGCAATATTGTAATGCATTACTTTTAAAAGTAACTTTCCCTAACACTGTTCGTTTAGAATTATTCCGCTTTTAAGAACAAGCAGAAGATATGCCGGTTTCTCGGGAGTGGGCGGAGCTAATACGCGAACAGCTCTCGTTGGCTGGCGCTCCTCTATTATCGTCCCCGTTTTGATTTCAGCAAATTAGTTCGAGCGGACGCTGACAACGTGATTAATATTCATGAACCCAGCAGATAATAAGTAGTATCTTTTAATAATAATTACTATTACCTATGACCAACAATATCTTAAACACCACCACCAGTCCTAAATTCAGTTAAAATGACAAATATGCATTCATTCATGGTTACCAATTTTTAGTTCTAATCACTAGTTCTATCATTAAATAGTGCTTAATTATCATAATATCA